TTTTTTTTTTTTTTTTTGAGTTTCTGGAATCTGACAACCTGGCCACGGGGCTGAGATGCCCTCACTGAGGGCACACTCACACTAAGGCTTGGACCCCACTGGCTGGCGGTGTGGAAAAGTTTTGGCAACGAAGTGCTTTTCATACCCCACAGGTGTTGGAAACCGTCGTGGAAAGTCGGCCCGAAAAGGAATTTCAGACCCCACTGCGGTTGGAAAGAGGTCATGGAAAAGCTGACGGGGCGTTTCTACTTGGCTCGCGGTCTGGAAATTGGTGGCAACGAGTTTCCAAACAGTTTCCAAGGACGGCTCCAGACGAGTAGGGGGGGGGGCATGGAAAAGAGTTTCCAGAAAACGGCTAGACAGCGCGAACCACGGATCGTCGCCGTGGACCGTTTTCTGGACCAGTACGCTCGCGCGGACATGCTCTTCATTTTCTCGCGTCGCACGGTTCCCACCGGGGCCCGGGGGGGGGGTTGGGCCCTCCATGCTACCCTCGCTTTGCGAACGGCATGACGCATCATTTCAAATTCGAATTTTTTGGCGGGCCCAGGACGTAGGCCAGCCATGCAGTCGCTTCATGTCGTGCGAGTTCAGTGGCAGAAGCATCGGCAGTGACACCCTTACGTCGCCGTCGTCGACACGTCCATAAAACCCTCCGTCGTTTCTCACCGGCGTTATGCCATCACTCATCTCCTTCGCGCGTGCAGGTTCCCTGGCCTGCCTACGGGGAAGCCATCTCGGGTGGCGTCGGCAGGCGTTGTCCGACCAGGGCTTGCATTTCGAAGCTGTTGGCGTTGTGCCGAGCAATGTCTGTAGAACGCACAGTCCCGCCCCGGTGCTCTCACTACCTGCCCGCGCGCACACGTGTCGTCCAATGCTGACCTCCCGCCGTGTGGTCGTCATTGCACATGTCGTGCTTCGTCGTGTGCCTCCCTTGCCATCCTCCCTTCTTCGTCTGCCTCGGCAGGGCGGTCGTTTGTCCTCGCCGGAGAGCAACTCCGGCACATGTGGGCAGGGATGGGCTGCACATGACGATGTGGTCATAAGTCCTCATCCACACACTCGGCACGTGTCGGTTGTTGAACGCTATAGTCGGCCGTGTGGATGTGACCGCTGCCATCGTCATTGTTGTGTGGATGTTATCATAAACAACCACTGCGGCGGAGGCGGGCGACGAAAAAAACCATCTTTGGCTGTTATCGCAGGCCTACTCGCAACTTTCGTGTTGTCCGTCGTTTTCTAGTGCGCGATCGTGTACTTGTGCTGTCGTCGGTGGAGATAAGCAGCGAAGAGTTGTTGTTCGAGGGCGCATTGCGTGTTTGCAGGTGTTGCCTTCGTATATATACCTTCCGCAGCGAAATGGAATCGTACCGGTCGACGACAGATCCCTGTGCAGGCAATGGTGGGGGATTCCAGACCCAAGACATGCGACAGCAAGGATCTGTCCAATACTCCTCGCCTTCGCCGCCGAGTATGCAATCCTTGAGCGGGCAGATGTAGGAGGTTGTGCGTGTGGGGCTGATTCAAGTGCCTCCTGCTCGTGTGCCCTCTCCATCTTTCCATCATGCGAAAGTTGCACGTCGGCGGTTCGTTGTTCGACCCACTGCAGAAAGTCTGCATGCGGGCCCCGTGCACATGGGCCAGACGTCGTTTTGCACACAGGTTGGAGGTGGGTATGGCATGCCTTCTCCGCACATGTTCCCAGGCGGCGGTGGATATGGCATTGCTCCACACGTGTACCCCACCTAGCACAGTATGGAAAGGGGCGGAGTGATGAGGGACGAGTGGCAGTGGTCCCCACAGTGCCGACAACCGTCGCAACCCATGCATGGCGGGTTGTCCGCTCCCTCGCCCATGTCCGTGACACAGTATGCTGCCGAGCCCTCACCTTCGATGGCAAATGTGCAAGGAGAGGATATGGATGAAGGGTGGCCTGTCCATAGTGCAACTTCATCGCCTGCCGGCTTGCAAGGTCCTTCCTTTGGTGGCGAGGAAGATGACTTGGTTGGCGACGATGAAGTTGAAGGTGATGGCGGTGACATTGATGGGCAAAACTCTGACAATGCGCAGGAGGATAGGGACAGTGCTACTGCTGGCCAGAGAGATGGAGGCGAGAATGTGGTTGGGCCCCAAAGCAGCAAGCGTGCAAACAAGCGGGGGGGTGAAGATGGTGCTGCGAAAAACAAGAAGCAAAACATCCCCTGGACCTTAGATGAGAGGATCGCGCTGTCCAGAATTATGGTCAAGGATGACGCCCTTATGGTCGACGCCGACGGGCAGGAGTAAGGACCGATATGAGTGGGTGCACGATCGAATGGCGGAGCAGGGGTTTCCACACAAGTCGGCGGAGGATTGTCGTAAGAAGTGGCAGGGCATGCTGGCGGCAGCGAAGTTGATTCTGGACAAGTGTGAGAATGCTTCGGGGAAACCTTCGTACTGGGACATGACCCTTGAGGAGCGGAAGGCGGAGCAGGTGCCACTAGGCTTTGAGAAAGCTCTGTGGGAAGCGATGGAGTGGAAACTCAATCGGCCATCCATCAAGTGTGACAAGACGCTGAAGTCTGAGAACCTGTCAGGTAACGCGGGGGGGAATTCAACGAGCGGCGGTCTAGCGCAGCCGTCGTCGGGGAGGAGTGCTTCCGACGGCAAAGCAACGTAGGATTCGGACCAAGCAGCGAAGACCCGGAGGACGAACACCGGCAAAACCAGGATAGACGACACGATCAGCGGTGGGACAGCATTGGGTAGGGCGATGGAGGACACAACACGGTCGTACGGCGAGGGTTTGGATAAGGCCGCTCCCACTCTGGCGAAGGCAACGTCGGAGGCAGGACGGCGATTGTGGTGAAGATCGGTGTGGCAGATGCCATGCGTGGCGGGAACACTGTCCTTGAGAAGCTCGTGGGGGTTCTTGCGAGGCGCGGAGGTGGGAGGAACAATGCTGCATACGAGAGGGCGGATACAGACCCCTCGAAGCGCTATACTTCATATATATATATATATATATATATATATATATATATATATATATATATATATATATCGTTACAAACAGAACTACCCGGTAAAACGTAGGCAGAGAGAGAGAAGAAGACAACAAACGAGGGGCTGTGACAAACTGTTTCGTCGGAGTTTCACCGACTCATCA